TAAACGAATCCAATATTCCGAGCAAGTCAAGGAACTGAGATTTAGAGAATATGAGCATCGAGTCAAGAGTATCTAACGTTAAAAACAATAACGAAGATATAATGAGTGAATTTTAATTCGTAATTATATATCAAAATAAGCGCTACAAAGTGAAATTGCTCTGGAAACCAAATATGAAGACATTATCAGAAAATAACGAACAGATAGCAAAGAGAAGATTTTTTAGATTGAAACCATCTTTCAAAAATGATCATTCCTATTTTGTGAATATAACGAAGAATTATCTTTCCGAAAATATTATTGAACCTGCCCCAGTCGATGAGGTTATACGTACCGATAAGACTACAAGTAAATTAAGCTTTGTGTTTGATGCTCTGGTACATGCGAAAGGTCATTTATGCTTGAACGATTGCTGTTACACGGGACTTAATTTTACACTTAACTTATTTCTTCTTTTGATCAGATTTAGAACGAATCCAATAGCATTTGTTGTAGCTGTAAAGATGGCCTTTCTCTAGACTGAAATAGATGAAACCGAAGGAGATTTTTCTGGGACGAAGGTCTAGGAACTGATTTTGAAAACAAGAAATTGGAGATTTTTCGGATGGCAAGGATATTGCTTGGAGTAACATTAAGCCCGTTCCTACTTGCAGCCACAATAAAGCATCATCTCAAAAGGTACGTGAATATATTTCCTCTGACTTCGAAGAAACTTCACGAATCATTGTTTGTCGACGATTTTATTTGTGGACAAGTTAATGTCCAGCAAGCTTTAACGACCTGTAAAGAAAGTGTAGATATTCTAAAAGATGGACCTCCGAAATTGGAGAACCAATTCTCCTGTGGTAAGAATTAAAGAATTTAAACTTCAATTTACATTAGAATGAAGTTAATTCCTACATAAGTGTTGGGATGAAAGAACTGATAAGTTTTATTTGAATTCCTGAAATTTCGAAGCATTTCTTTTAAAAAGAATTAACACGAAAAGACACAAGCGGTAGGTCGACTTTTTGATCCAATAGAATCGTATAATATTAGAGCTAAACATGTGATGCAGGAAATTTGGTGTTTAGGATTAGACTCAGATGAAAAATTGAACAAACAGTGGGAAATTTCTTGGAACTGAAGGAAATTTTTCTCTGACGAAATTCCAGAAACTAATGTTGAAAACAAGAAATAGGAGATTTTTCGGATGACGAGAATATTGTCTGGAGTAAAATTCAGCCGTTCTTCTTGCATCCACAATAAAGCATCACCCCAAAAGGTACTGGATATATTTCCTCTGACTTTTAAGAATCTTAACGAATCATTGCATGTCAACAATGATTTGTTAATCCAAGATGCAAAGGAAATATTCTCCGATATTACTTTCAAAAGAAGATAACTTACATACAAATATAAGTCATACATCTTCAAGAATACCTATTTAGGCAATAAGAAAAAAAAAAAAAAAAAAAAAAAAAAAGGAACATACTTTGACACCGTACCTGAAAAGAGAAAGTACTAACTGAATTAGACCTTTGGTCGTGATATACGTAGCTAAGGTGAAAGTCAAATATATTGCATTGCACACGAACTTTACTTTCTCTCGCCAATATATATCTTGGCGCACGTTCGTTTCGTACGCCTTTCGAGTTTCATTATGCAAAATACCTAAATTTATGCTAACAGTTGCCCAGTGATGCAATCACCAATCAATAGACTGTTCTTCAGATGCATGGCACGGACCCTGTTGGTTGACAATGACCCTGTTGGTTGACAACAGCACGTTCATCCTTCTTAGAATCGATGGAGGAAATCTAAATAGTTATCGATAAGTCAAATTTAAGAAATCAGTTGCTGTAAATGCAACAGTTGAAAAGAGCCAAACTGAAAACTTTCGATTACAAAATAATCCTCATTCAGTAAATAAATTAGAATAACTGCTTTGTGTGTAAGATTTATAGATAACTGTAAAGTGAATCCAGAGTTAAGAAGAAGAGCCTTCACCTGTGATTCTGAATTAAAATCCGCCTAATTTCGGATAGAAATCAAGTGCTTAAAAAACGGATACTCTATGTAGAGTCACTATGTTATTTTCAAGCAGGAGACATGAAAAATGAGCAATGCCCTCGTCGGGACTCGAACCTGGACCTCTCGAATATGCGCTGAGTGAGCTACCGGTGCACCACGAAGGTTAAAGGAGGGAAAAAATACTTATATGGGCCTCCTGGTAGAACGGTGCTTTGGTACACCAGGGTACCTGGGCCGAAGGCCCTACCCTTTGTAGAACATATTAGAAGCTTCGAATTAGTACTATTTAAAGTATTTCGCTATTAAAATAAAAGGTGCTCTAATTTGAAATGAACCGAATAGAGCATTAATTATAAACTGACTTATATTTTTCGATTTAAAAGATGCCTCAGAAGCTAAAAAAATCATGTCATATATGAGAAAGTATTTTAGGAAGAAGCTCTAGGAATAGAAAAGAAATAATGCATAATTTTAATATTAATAATACAATAAACTTTGATCTTAATTTTTGTAATCCTTAACCGAATAAAATCGAATTACCTTAAAATTTCTTTCTAATTTAATTAACGAAAACTTGTGAAAATATTTCATTCAAATTAAACATTCTGAGCCAACTGTCTGTGAAAAGTATAGCATTTAATTCCGTTCAGAATAAAATGTTGTTTAAAAATGTATTCTTTTCATGTAGTACTTAGGACTCTGAAGTATTGTAGAAAAAGAAAATATATACATTTATAAATGCATATTTACGGCAAAATTACAAAATATTTACATCCGATCGAGTCCAGAACCAATAACTTAATGGTAAATTACCCAATATTTTGGTCACGATCGCCAGTGCTTCAAAGCAGGGTATGGGGAAAACGGTTTGGGGCCACTCCATTTAACTTCCTACCTCCATGCCACCACACCACGAATGCACGCCAAAAAGGCGAGAGAAATACCTTATAATTTAGTAGACAAATATATATTCAAAATGCTTATTATCTGCCATTTTTTATGATTTAAAATTTTTTTTAACTTTTCTGTCAATAAAAAAAGCTACAGTTCCCCCCCTTGAAATTCTGACTTCTGAAAAGCAGCAGCCGAAATACAAACTGCCAAAAAAATCTTTAGGGTCAAATTTTTGGAAGTCTATTTCCACAACAACCTTTAACATTTTCTGATGCAAACTATTTTTTAGTTTCGTCCTTTTTTAGATTTCTACCAACAGGTACATATGTAGAGTTCTTGTATATATTTTATTATTTTCAACTATTTAATCTAGATTTTGTTTCATCTTTATCATCATTTTCATCTTACTATGGACTTTGCCCGGTACCAAGGCTGCTGACTTTATCATCATTAAATTCGTATATCACGTGACAGTCTATTTCCCTATGAGTATTAAGATATAGGTACTTTCGCCTCAGACAAAAGAAAAAAAAAAAAAAAAAAAAAAAAAAAAAATCTGGGACTTGTATATATTATTTTCCATTTTTACTGTACGATACTGTGTCAAATCTACGATAATGTGTAAAAGAGATGCCATTGCGAAAAGATATGCCAAGCTACGAAGACTTCATCTGTGGCCGATATATGGCGTCACCCCTGATCAACTTCTTCACTACTGAAGACTTTGCACTTTTATTATAAGTGCACAGGACTTTTCCAGTTTATGGAATTTAACGAACTTTTACAGGTCCTTAGGGGATTGATAAACATGTAGTGGTAAAGGCCCTCACCACTTAACAAACACCACTTAACAAATGATGATCTCCGATCTCCGCTTGGAGTGTGCCATGATAAGTGTTGCGTAAGCCTTATTTCTTTAAAAGCTTGTTAGATTACTTTTGTGTCAAAAAAAAAAAAAATAAGCAATACGTTGCAAACAATTATGGAAGTTATATAAAAGCAAATATGCTGTTTTTTATAAGACCAAAATACGCATTTATTTAAATTATGAAATGCTGTGGCTTTTTAGTTTTCCCATTAATACTCATACATATACTTAAAAACTTAAAATTTTTCGGAACTCCCCCCCCCCTCTGATTAGAGACCCAGGGTGATCCCTCCTCGTACGCCCCTGGTTGAATCTAAGTTCTTCAGAATATCTAATAGTTTCATGGAAAACGTTTCAAACACTGTATCGAAAACAATCACAAAATGCAGACTGCATTCGAGAAATTAAAACAAATTCTGTTCCGAATTCTTAATAAAGCAAATGCACTTGTTCCCAGCCGCGTGACACAATTTAAATGAACGGCCTACAGTGTGATTTTTTTTTTTTTTTTTTTTGTTTTTACCATTAGTGAAGAGCTGACCGATAATGGTCTGCGAAAAGGAAGCTCACTTTCCGAGATGAATCTGTCTTCTAATATTAGCCACACGTTTTTTATTTTACCTTTCCCGACACGTCTTCCCTTACCTTCAGAAAATCGTGACCGAACTTCCAACAAACGATGCTCGTTGTTTCGGTGAGATACTGACAATTTCGAACATCCAAAAATAAAACGAAAAAAAAATATATATATATATGTATGTAAGTAGAATAGCAATAAGAATCCTGACTGCTATTGACCCCTACTTTAACTTCACTCACTGTAGTGTTTCACTGACGCTATACTTACTACAAACGCAAGTGCTGAGTAAAAGTAACAAATAAAGAAAAAAACAAAAATATAAATCATCCTTTCTGTTCCAGGAAAAAAAAAAAAAAAAAAAAAAAAAAAAAAAAAAAAAAAGCAAAAGTCTCCACAAACTAAACTCTTTCCTTGGGCATCTATCTATTCATCCATCTTCTCTGCAATCGTCTGCAGTTAACGGCGTTTGCGCAATTAACCCGGTTATAAGAAAAGGGGGAGGGAGAAAGGTACAATAAAGAAAACAACTGGTTCGTATTCCACCTGTCTTAATTCCGCTCCTCCTCCCCTCTTTCCCGTTACCTTTTCTTTCCCCGATCAAGCGAAACGCAAAAATAAAATGTAAAAATAAAAATGGACTCTCATCTTCATTGGAGGATGGACGAAATCGGGACAGTGTTATGTCCAGCGGACGTCCATTGGATATATAAGCGCGTCGCTGGCCAAGAAGCTTCAGAGTGCTTTCCGTGACTGAATAGTTCCAGTGCATTTGGTTTCCTTTGACTATGGCATCTCTAAAGGTAAGGTTTGCTCAATTTCATTCGATGTACATTTAGAGAACTTTCACTAAGTCATCCCATCACCTTCTAGAAGAAATGACTCGAGCGTTAAAGGATTTCGACTCATGGAATACCAGAATATCGATTTTAAAATTCTCCTGCGCTGTGGATGTTTCGTACATGGATTAAAATATCCTTCGTAAAGTGGCCAGTTCTGCTCAGAAATTCTCAAAGAGTTAAAAAACGTATACTATCACAAAGATAAAAATGAAAAAATGACGTGCAAAGTTTATTTTTAATCCAAATACATGTTACATCGCGTTAGAGAGATCTTTTCTTAATGATGAAAATGTTCATAAAATTATTCGTTAGATACATTAGAAATAGGTTCAGTTTAGTCAAATTAAACTCCCCAGATGCATTACCCTGAAGAAAAATAAATATGCAATTTATTACATAAATCTTTCCCCCTTTAAAATGTTCGGTTTATAAAGCAAGCGCGCCTAAAATAGTAATTATATATAAAGAATGATTTTAGCGAATCCATTTAGCGTTAGTTCATAAAAATATTTAATGCTTCTAATTCGATATCTCGTGATTTAAACGCATTTTTGCTTAAATCAAATACATTAAAAAGTAGACAAAATATTCTCAAGAATATTTATTGCTTTTAAATCGCTCGATTTGTTGATCCGTCTATAACAGATTGATTAAATTTGAAGTTAAATATCTTACGCTTCTTCGAATAGCAAAAAGTTGGTGCGTAGAAGATAAAGTATTTCATTTCGGGCAGGTGCAACATGCTGTTGCTTTTAAACAGCCGAGTTTGATGATTAAAAGCGAAAGAAAACATCTTAAATTTTATCAAATTGCAAAAGTTCAGCGCGCCAAAGATTTGAGAAAAAAAAAGTTATTTAGAACAGTGTTGCCACTGCTTGCTTTTAAATCACGGAGATTTCATTAAAAAATTCATCGATGTCGTATAAAATATGAAATAAATGAAAAGCAAATTCGAAATTCAAAATTCAGTCTTCGAAGTGCACATGTTGGGGGGTATCAAAAATTTGGTGGCTCTAGATGCCGTCGTTTACAGATTCTTCATTATTTAATAGTACATACAGATCCTTCATTATTTAATTAAACCTTATGGAACCCAGGCCATGAGGAATTGAAGATCTTATGTCTCGGGAAGACACTTGCTTATGGATAATAAAAAAACCTTAATAGCACAACGTTACGTAACAGCACCAAAAGATTAAAGACTGCTCTATAAAGCCGCACTTAATTTTTGAAAATAGTCTTCGATTAGGGAAAGAGACAGTTATCTCAAAAAACCTAACGTTGAAGATTTATTCCAAACAGTAATTATGTATTAGATATATATGTTTTATTGTATTTTATTTCTTGCTCTTTCCAATATATCATAACTGTCTCAATTGAAAAGCATTTTATGCCAGTAACATACAAGAATATTTTATCTTTAAAATTCAGTCTTCTATACTGTTCATTAAATTAAATTTAAATATTAGATTCTGACGAGGGAAATTATTTATCTAAAACTAATTTATTAAAGCCGCTTTTAATATTAATTCATTATATTTATGTCAGTTAACAAAATTAAATATTTAATTTTTATATGATATTAAAAAAAGATAATTTGAATTTTTAATGCTATTTAATAGTATTTTGTTTAAAAAATATCTGAATACTATTAAATAGCTTCATGTTATTTAGTTTATTGTTTATTACCTATGCTGGAAAGATTTAAACGTGGCTAAAAATATAAGAATATCATTACAGAATTTTGTATTAATAACTTATTAATTTGTATTCAAAACTACTCTCAAAATACTTACTTATTGGTTATTATTCTCATAAAATTTAGAAGTTGCTGCAAATCCGCTTTTTTTCTCCCAAATTAAACGTATTAACGAATAAACTTATCAAATTTTTATTTAATATTTGCCATCATTGACTGATCAAGGCAAAAAGATGCTTAGAACAATGTATGATTTCTAATAACGCTAATTAAAAATCGTCAAAGATGAAATTAAAATTACTTTATAATGTCTGTTAATTAATGGTGTGTTATGTATGTTATGATTATTTGAAGTTATTTTAGCCGCTTAAAATAGTTACTTTAAAAAAGAAAAATATATGTAATAATTTTTCTGAATCCAGTTAATATCATTTCACTGATCCAACTAGTAAATAATGATAATTGAAATGAATCTGTGTTTACTGCTTTCAAATCGCCTAGTTTGTTACTTAATATCAGAATAAATTTGAGAGAAAAATTAAGTACAACGCTTTGCTGAATGTACAGTGTCGCGTGGAAGATAAATCTATTTCAATTCGGACAGGAAAAACATATTTCTTTTACATCGCGAAGTTTGTTAATTAAATTTTGCGTTTTGCCGAGTTGCACTTCTTTTACATCGTTGATTTTTCTGATTTGATTAGAAAGATAAACAAATAGTTTTTCCCAGCGGCAACACAAAGCTTTTATATTGCCGAGTTCTTAAACAAAAGTCCCTTAAAATGCGAAATAAATAAAAAATAAATTCCGAAATTTTAAATCCGTGCTCTGAGGTGCACATATTCGGGTGGAGGACTATGTTTAAAACTATGGTGCCGCTGTTTTTCTCCAGTACGAGGAATATATAAACATTCACACATACAAAGTTTCCTAGATATGATTTTAATTTATACATTTAATTAAAGTCCACAAAATACTTTTTTAAAGATCGAAATTATTTAAAGAAATCATACTAATATAGGCATTACATTAGACCTTAGAATGAAAACAAGGCGGATTTAATATATGCAAAAAAATCTGCCATATGGAAAAAATAGCGTGAAAGTAAGAAGCAATAAATTCAAAGTGAAATGCGTTTACATAAATAACAGTTATTATTTATAATTTTTATATATTTTAATAATTGATAAGAAATTTGTTATTAATCTAAAACTACTGGGCGTATTTTTATCGCGTTATTACTTTTTCAAGAACATTGGATCATTTCATTCGTAGTTTTATCGCATGCACTAGCATCATCTAGGTGATGACGGAAGAGTTAAAATCGGGCGCCAATAAAGAGAGGGAGGCGTTAATTAAAGTTACTTTTTACAAGTATTGTGAGAAGTGCAAGCGTTTTGATCACTTGCAACAGAAAAATAATAAATTTTTTGCCCTAAATGTACTAAAATAAAATCAAAAGTAAAAATGATTTTTAAATAAAAATAGTTTTTAAATGTTAATGGATTTCAAATGCTAAAAAAAGCACCCCTCACCTTAAAAAGTATTATAATTTAATGCATAAAGGCTTTCTTCCCTTATTTTACATTCTTTTTCTGCAGAAATATCTCAAAATTCTAGCTTCGTTCAGTTTTTTCCGTTAAAATTTCTCTAAAAATATGTTATAGTAGTATATTACCTTTCCCTACTTTTCGCTTAAGTACGTATTTTTTTCCCCTTGTTAAAAAGCTCATAGGTAAAAAATTTTATCATGCTTAATTACATAATGATAAGGGTTAATACAAGTTATATGCAAAAAAAATTTTTTTTTCTTAATCTAAAATTTCCAATACTTGATATTTCGTAAATTCTTACTTTTTTATGAAAATATTAAAATTTAACTACTGCTTTCTAAAATCATAGCAACAGGAATAATTCATCTAAGTTTAGATGCAAAAATAGCAATTTCTAATTCCTCTCTCAAATATTGAAAGTATCTGATTGTAACGAAGGTTTTCAGCCAAAAAACGTTCTTAATAATGTTAAGGGAAAAAAAAAAAAAAAAAATGAAAGCAGTACCTATAGTGTGGGTAGTAATCCCCACCAATACACAATTTGCTGCCAACAAAGCCTTCTGCCCAGAAACTGGTGGCCGCCAGTCCAAAAACAGAACAATCTCATTTCGAATGTCCTGTGCAGAATGAAAGATAGCATCAGCAAGATGTAGCTGCAGGTGTGAAAAAAGGTACACGGGCTTACTTCATCACAATTGAAGATCCAGTCCAGAATTTTATCCTTGCTTTCATATTCGAGCAAATTAGTGTAGGCCCGAACACGTCTGTCCTCATCTGCTTGAGTCAGTTCAAGCAATTGAACTTGTACGTCAAGTTTATGCGACGTAGAGTACGACTAATGCACATGGCACTAACGTTTAACTCCTTAAGCAAGCTCTCGAGTGGTTGCATACTGATCTTCTTTCCCAAGTTCTCGCAGGCGGGCCTCATCAGTAGGCTGAGCACTCTGCTTCTTGAATGTCATAGTCCTTGTTTTTGAACTTTCGGTACTAAACCATCACAGTGTCATATGATACAACATTAGCACCTAAAGCTATGCACAAGATTTGGTGACAATCTGTAGCTGACTTTTTGCAAGAGAACTGGAAGTAAATGATGTTTCTAATGTGGTGGTGTGATAGTTCCATTTCAGACACCTTGTACTTAATGATAACGATATTTGTTTACAAATTTCACAGCACAGTGTTCTAAAACAAGTCTCTTGCTTTCAAATGCCAAAACTCGGTTGACAAAATATGATTAAACACGCTAACGCGAACTGTTTGCGCAGACGATATTTACGGTGGCAGGAAATTTTTGCTAAATCCCGATAAAAGCAAACCATTTACTCTTAAACTAGCGTAACAAATTTACTAAAAATACAGAGCAGATCATAATAACGTTAATTAAAATAAATTAACTCTAAACTGTTGATTAAATTTTGAGTTTGTTGTCCAACTCGAATTTTGTTCATAAATTCGAAATAATATATTTTGCGTTTTGTCCAGTGGCAACACATTCCTTTTATAGCGCTGCTTTTTCTGATAAAAGTTGAAACATAAATATCTAATACGCTTTGCTCAATAGCATCAATCTTTTATATATAGTTGAGTTCTTAACGTAATTTTTTTAAATTCGGAACAGATATTAAATAAATAAATAAAAAAATTAATTCGAATATCAAAATTTCGTCTTTGAGGTGGACATATTCGGGTGCAAGACTATATGACACCTATCAAAACTGGGTGGCTCTGCGTGATACCATTCTTCCACACTTCGAGAAAAATATTTACACATATATTGATTTCTCATTATTTAAATACAGTAAAAATTAGACCATTATATAATGGTCTAATTAATGGATTTCCATTAACCGTACGTCGAAAAAAAAATATCTTGCTTAACATAAATCTGAAAGAAGGAGGAAGAAATCGTTATTTGTAAGTGTATTTATTAATAAACACATTTAGCTTACGCAAATAAGCAAGTTGGGAATACAAAAAAGAAATTCTAATACTAGAAAAATACTTGTTTATATATTTAGGCCAAAAATAAATAGACATTCGTTGGTTGAATGTTTGAATGGAAGCGCAATGTCAATGCCTCCGAATCGTTTGGCGATGTTCTACTTTTAATGGCCGCAAACAAGCTCATTTAAAGGGAATATTTCATTCGCTAATGTCAGTCATTAATGAGGAAACTACAGCTTTACTACCACGTCACATCAACAAAGTGTTGAAAATGCTTTATTGGCATTATTTTCTGCCTTTCAAAATTCGCTTTATTTTTCATTCATTCTCTTTTCGTTTGTAAATTCCTTCTACGTTAGAACAATTTGCTTGAATGGCTTCAACCTGAGTGTAACAACATCAAGAAACACATATATAGCGTTTCTGATTTTGATACTTCGATACTTGGTCGGTATACTTAGTCCCATTACGGCCTTACCTGTGATGCAACCGTAAAGAATATTCACAAAGTACCTGACGGGTTCTGATTTTGTTTATAACGGAGTATATATACTCCGTGTCATAAACAAAAGAACTATTTTGGGGAAAAGGGAAATTATATAGGATGAGTCTCAAAGTAAAATTACATGTGGAACAGATGCCTAATCTCAAAAAGCTCACGGGAAAAGATACTCTTCCCCCCAGCAAAATGAAAAATTTTTATGAACAAAGTAAAAAATATTTTAAAGAAATTTTTAATTTCGTTTAATAAATTTTATCAAATCATACATAAATAATAATAATAATAATATTGCAAAAAAATCAAATTTATATTTATTTTCTATCTGAAATCTATTATTACCTTCAAGAATCTCTTATTGGTTACACAATATATTGAAAGCTAATACTAAAATCATTAATTATTTTACTTTAATTTAAACTAAAAATAAACAAATTATGAAACTTCATTAAGTGCGATAAAACTTGAGGGGGGAAAAATCTGAGAGCTTTCAGATTTTATATTATGCCCAAAGGGGCGTCTTTTAGCGTTTTGTGTGTTACCTTTACTTTTGTGTGTTTGCAACAGCAATATCAGAAAATATTTAAAAGAGCATATGTTTAGAATTTCCGATACACAGTCATACATGCTGGAGATATTTTCCTCCGCACAGTGTTGCCATTGCTCGCTTTGAAATCGTTGAGTTTGTTAATTAAAAATTCTTTAGTGTTCGACAAAATATGAAATCGGTAATAAAACAAATTCTTAATTCCAAATTAGGGCTTCCAGATGGTCTTGTTCGGTAGAGGATTATGCGATTCAAAATTGGATAGCCTCTATGTACCGTTGTTTTATCACAATGCGAGAAACATACATACATACATTTATACAGATTTTTCATTACTTAATTTCTTTAAATATAACACAGGGCGATAATATTTGGTGGTAACAATTTGAAAAGTAAAATGGACATTCAATGTTTTCGCCGCAAAATGAAATTTATAGCCCTTCTGGGCTAACAAAGCGATTATTCTTAGTGAAAAAATTCGTAACCAAGCGTATTTATTTTTTGACAGAAGTATGAATAAATGCTAATAAAACCTGTACCTTCAAGTCATTGAATAAATTTATATCATACTGTAAATTAATAAGCTCCATTTGTAGATGTTAGTCGTGTTGTTTTCCAGTCGGAATGAAAATGCTGTAAACTCGGACTTCAAACAACTCAAATTTGAAATCTTTACAATACAATACTGTATTTTCAAAAATTCCATACTTGAAATGTATTCGTGTGCCGGCAGTTTGAGGCCACCGAGTTAGTCAATAGTTTAAATATTTTGTTTATAATCTCTAATTCGATATTTTATTTCTAACGCTTTGCAGTTTATGAAGGATCAAATTAATTAATGGTTGAAGTTAAAAAATATGGTAGATTTCAACTACAGAAAGGAATTCACATAGAAATTCACATTAAAAAATAGATAATTTTGAATGGAATTTTTAAATTACTTCTATTTATTTGTTCTGACGAAATTCGAAATTATATTTCTCTTCCAAATAAAGGTTTTATTCTTCAGGAATTAAGAAGTATCTGATTTTAAATTTCCGTTGCACTAATAAATGCAAAAAGTCACTTTTTTTTTTCTACGAAAATGAGTTAAATCCGACAAATAATTAGCTGTAATTCATCGACGATCACCCTTTAAACACTATTTCGAATTCGGATCCGCTAAAATTAATCAAAATACATCTTTAAAGGGAACAAATGTTAGGAAACATGGAAACTTCTACATTCTTCAAAATCCCTAAGGCATAATTAATGATTTAATACTGTCTTTTATTTCCCAAAATACAAAAAAATACAAAACTTTTAATTCATATATATATATTTTACTTTTTTATTTTCCCTTTGATGGTGCTACTATTGTTGTTACTAATCCTTTATTATTATTATTATTTTGTTTAAAGCACCATTTTGCCTCATCTTTCGATACGAATGACACAAAGAGATGCAAAATGCATTTTCTCTTAAAAACCGAATTTGAAACAAAGCCCGAATTTCTGATTTACTTTATATTTTGTGCGAATTTAAAAAAGCTCTTTAATTAAAGACTCAGCAATATAAAAGTCCCTCGGCAAAGCGTAAAATATTTCAGCGATATAAAAAGAATGTACTAAAAAGAATGAAAACAATTCTAAATTATTTATTTTCTATCTGAAATTAAAAGTCTGATAAGAGCAAGACATTTGTAATTGTTGCACTTAGTAATTCAAACATATTGACAGCTAAATATTAGTATTTCGGATAATTCTAATATGCTTATTTAACCATTAATTAACTTAGTGCAATTTAAATTAAAAATAAACAAGTCAAGAAAATTTGAGGATAAAAAGGCTAAAATCTGAGAATAAAAGAAATCGTGAAAAAATTCAGTAACTTAAAAGCTTTGTGTTGCCAGTCTGCAAAGCGCAAGATATTAACGTTTCAAAATTAATCAGAAAGCTCAGTGATATTAAAGACGTGTGTTGACAACCGGCACAACGCAATTAATATGTCTTTCGAATTTAATTAACAAACCCTGCAATTAATGTTATCACTGCCCGAATTAGAATGCTTTTACATTTCCTTGTCGTTCTGAAAGGCGCAAGATAATTTTTCTTTCAAATTTATTTTGTGATTAATTAGTAAACTGATTTAAACGCAGATTTATTTCAATTATTATTAATTACTAGTTGGACTCGTAAAATTAGATTAGGATTCATTAAAATCATATTATTATTTTTCTTCCGTTTATTTTAAGGTTAACTAACATTTTAATAAAGTTCGTATTACTCAATCTAACACTGAGTTTCGTAAGATTGTAAAATTAACTTATAAACAGAAAGTAGATGAAAAGCAATCTAAATTACAATAAAATCTAACAAGCAGTATACATCTCAAACTTTAAAACTCTGCATTAAAGTTCGTGAAGATGAAGGAAAAAATGGATGTAATTAGATTCAGCTGATTATTGCCCTACAACACCTCTTTTTGTGTAGGCCTGTCTAAGAGGAGATATCTTCTGTTTTCTTCAGCTACATAGAGGATAATAAGAAAACTAAACCATAATGATTACCTCTGATGGAATCCTTAATTTTCCATGCTTTTGCTTACTTGTTGGGCCCTGTTTGGGGTTTTTTTATCTTAATAAATGTCTTATAAATTGAGTTGAATTTTGTAATTTTATTCATGTGAACTAAATTTCCGAGAAATAATAGGAGTTTTTCTCTTTGAAACAGTTGTGGGCCCTGAGCTGCCTGATTCTGAGTGTATCATGTGCCAAAATTGAAAATAAAGCGACTATAACAAGCACTAAAGATCTCGTAGCAGCTGCAACTGGCTACGGCGGTGGCGGTGGCGGCTACGGAGGTGGAAGCGGAGGAGGTGGTGGGAAAGGCACTACTATTCTCTTGGCGATTCCAGTTTCCTTGAACTCAGGAGGCAAAGGTGGTGGAGGAGGAGGAGGTTACGGAGGCTCCTCTGGTGGTGGAGGTGGATACGGAGGCTCATCTGGTGGAGGTGGAGGCTATGGTGGTGGCATTTCCGTCGATAGCGGATACGGAGGAGGCTCTTCCGGTGGTGATTATGGAGGTGCATCCATCGGAGGCGATTATGGTGGGTCCTCAGGTGGTGGTTATGAAGCAGTATCCCTTGGTGGCGGATACGGAGGTGAATCTCTGGACCTTGGTAGTGCATATGGTGGCGGTGGAGGAAAAGGAGGTGGAGGAGATAGTGGATATGGCGGAGGAGTTGGAGGCGGATCTTCAGGTGGTTCGTCCGGTGGATACGAAGGTGGTTTATCTGGAGGATACGGTGGTGGCAAAGGAGGTGCTGGAATCAGTGTAATCTCTCTTGGAGGTGGATACGGAGGAAGCAGTGGAGGAGGTGGATATGGTGGAAGCAGTGGAGGAGGTGGATATGGTGGAAGCAGTGGAGGAGGTGGATATGGCGGAAGCAGTGGAGGTAAAGGTGCAAGCAGCGGTGGTTATGGAGGCAGCAGTGGTGGCGGAGGTGGATATGGAGGCAGCAGCGGCGGCGGAGGTGGATACGGAGGCAGCAGCGGAGGAGGAGGTGGATATGGAGGCAGCAGTGGAGGTGGAGGAGGTATTACTCTTCTTGGCCTCAGCATCAGTAGTCTTGGAGGTGGAAAATCTGGTGGAGGAGACGGAGGTTATGGTGGTGGAAGCGAAGGAGGCTATGGCGGTGGCTTAGGAGGAGGATACGGTGGAAGCAGTGGTGGAGACAGTGGTTACGGAAGTAGCGGTGGGGATGACTATTCCGCATTATTAAGCAGTGGACTTGGAGGTGGATATGGAGGCAGCAGCGGAGGAGGAGGAAGCTATGGAGATGCACTTGGTGGTGGTTACGGAGGAGGCAATAGCGGAAAGGGTGGCCTCGGTGGCGGTTTAGGAGGAGGCTACGGAGGTGGAAGCGGAGGAGGCTATGGTGGTGGTAGCAGCGGAGGAAAAGGAGGTTTCGCAGGATTAGGTGGAGGATATGGCGGCGGAAGTTCAGGAAAAGGAGGTGGTTATGGCGGTGGAAGCTCAGGAGGATACGGAGGTGGAAGCGGAGGCAAAGGTGGATCAGGAGGTTACGGAGGTGGAAGTTCCGGAGGATACGGTGGCGGAAGCGGGGGAGGATATGGAAATGGAAGCGGAGGCAAAGGCGGCTTAGGTGGAGGATACGGTGGAAGCAGCGGAGGAGGAAAAAGCGGAGGATTGGGAGGAGGCTATGGAGGAAGCAATGGAATCAGCAAAGGAGGTTTTGGAGGCGTATCCAGCTACGGAGGAAATGACTGGTCATGGTGAAAAGGTAATATTTTATATTTTTAATAAAATTATAACAATATAGAAAAATGCATTTTTTTACAATGGCACTTCGGTATAGTCCCATAAGGAGGAGAAAAGTTTTGTTGGAATACGTCTCCAGTTGGATAAGTTCATTTCTTTCGAAACAATATGCTACGACTGCCCGTGAGCGTCTACTGTTCAGTAAACAATCTGCGCTAAAACTCTGAAATTTCAAGCGATTCTGTTCCCCCCCCCCGCGTAAATATTTTGCTAATTCATCAAAAATGAGTTTTAGGAGAGTTCATGATAACAGTCGAACAACAAAAACAAACATACAAACAACAATAAAAGGTTATGATAACCATGGAAGGTGAAAAGGAGATTGTTGAAAAGAATAAAGACAACATGCGCATCCGGGACTTGGCTACCGATACCGTTTGACAAGTACGATTCTGAAGAACCAAGACGCTATTCAATCGGCTTACATCGCAAAGGGGGATTACCAAAGAAAGATCGAGAGGAACAGCATGTTGAGAAATTGCTTTTGATCTGCATAAAAGGAAAACATTTTTGTACAGTGTCACTCTCTGCATTTATATTTTAGTATTAAGCAGTACTAAAATAATGACGACAGGACTTTTTTTTATAAGACCAAATTAATTATTTTCCTTCTTACTGGAAAATTGGAATGGTATATTGCCATATAAAACTCAACGGCAAAATCACAAAATATTCAAAAACAGCAAACATACCTTTATAATTATCGAGAGAGTTGTAGAATCATTAGGTTTTTTTTGGGGGGGGGAAAGGAGGCGACGTGGAAATCAGAATAGGGTGTATATCACAAACAGCAAAATCACAAAATATTTAAAAACAAGCAAGCGTATCTTTAGACTTCTCAAAGGAGTTCTAGAGGCATTAAGTTTTTTTTTTTTTTTTTTTGTTTTTTGTTTGTTTTTCGTGGCAGGAGATAGGTCCACCACCTTTCAGTTCGGGTGCCACTTGTACATTCATTAGGTTTTCTTTCTTTCTTTTTTGAAGCAGGAGACGTGAAAGACGTGCAACGCCCTCAAATCCTGGACCTCTCGAATATGCTTCCAATTACACCACGAAGACACGCGAAAAGAAAGAAACTTTATAGAGCAGGGGTTCTCAACCGGTGGTATGCAAGACAAAATAGGTGGTACGCAAAGAAGCAAAGTATTTTTAACTATTAAATTCAAAAATTAAAACCCCAACATCCTGATTGAGTTTTTTCTCTAACAATCGTAAATTTATGCGATCTCAGCTTTGTTCAAGAGTGGTGGTGGTGGTACTAAAGGTTTTCAGTTTTTGTTCAGATGGTGCTTGTCAATCAAAAGGTTGAGAACTGCTCTTATAGAGTATTAAATGTTGCCATATATTTTTAAACTTTATATATGCTACATCATTTTTTAAAAAAGAATACATGGCAATAACATTTGATGATTAGAATAGAAGAGAAACACGCCAATGTGACAATCAAAAGCGCAATAACAACTTTGTATTTTGGCATACATATATTAAAACATTCAATCGATTTCGAAGGCAGCTAAAGGACCCTCCTCATCAGGAGAACGAAATTACTAAAATAATAATAATAATAATAAATTTTTCTTCTTTTTTCCCTTTTCTAGTTATTTCTAGTTTATTTTTATTGCGATTTTGATTGATGATTATTTGAAGAGTGTGAAAAACACACACACAAAAAAAAAAAAACCTCTTATAGAAGTACTCGAATTAGATATAAAGTAATGATAGTAAAGCTACTACGGTACAACGAGCAAATAAAGAAAAATATTGATATTTTGGTAATTTCTCTGATATTGACTGACTTTGTATGAAGCAAACATTATTATGCTCAAAACTACATTTTTCTTTCTTTTTCTCTTTTCTAGATCTAATAGCAGTACAATACCCCTCTCCTTTGTTTTAGAAGTTCCGCAACACAGTATGAAAGACGACACAGACTTTGCTATTCAGTTCTAAACGAACGTTCCCTGGTATGATTAGTAAATCAGAGGCATTATTTTTTGCAAGTTCCTGCTTTGTGAAGTTATCATGAACTTTTAAAACGACTTGATGTGTCACCAGTTTCCATTCGAGTTCAACGAATGCCTGAACTACTGGTGGCAAATACCCTTTGTGGCAGGAAGATTGCAAGCGTCCGATCCCTCTCATGGTTCAGTTACATTTTACTCTCCAGAAAGATTGACTGTAACCGTCAGAGCCTGTACAGTAATAAGGATCATCTTTTTTGTCTCTCACGTTGGCATGAAAGTTGCATTGTATTATATTTTGATGAAAATTAAAAAGTAAATTATTATGTGTATTTAGCTGTGGTTGATATGCCTAACAAATTTCAGTGTTTAAGAATGTGTCGCATTAATACTTTGTAATGTCTTGATTATGTAACGCATAACTTAAAAAGAAGTTACGAGTATAATGTAAAATTATGTTAGTAGATAGGTATGTTTAAGGATAATTCAGACTCTTGAAACTGCAAGTAATAATCGCGAAAACGGCTAATATTCCATAAGCGGGGTAAGTTGGCACCAAATTATTTTGGCCGTCAAAATTTGACGAATTTTTTGCTGGCAATGAAAGCACTAAGATATGATTTTTAAATGTAAACAGAATAGTAACTTTAAGTTTTGCAGAAGTGAAACACAGTTAATTTATGCAAATAGAATAGTAATATGAGATGATAAAATACTAAAACAAAGTTCAACAGCTTTGCAAGTAAAATCATAGTTCTATCTATGTAATTCATCATAAAATAGTAGAATGAACAATTCTTGTAAATAATTATTGAGTAAATAAAGACATACGCTTATCAGATCAGAGCACTGCGAAGTGAGTTTTAAATGTAAACAGAATACCAAATTTTTGTTTACAGCGATTATTACAGTGTCTCACAAAAGTGATGGGACACTTGTGCTTTACAAAAGGAAACTGTGGTAAAATAAATTCAGAAAACATGTAAAAATTTTTTGTGGGTGCGTTTCATACTTAAATTTAGTAACAATTATTACATAACATACATTTTCTCAAAATATTAAAATATTAATTTAATAAAAATATAATTGTTTAGAACGGAGCAAAAAATCTCACGTAAGTGATGGGACACTTACTTTTCCATCAAATAGTTATCCAAAAATTTTACTTTTTAAAAGGTTTTTAATATTTTGTTGGATTTCCTTTTACTTTTAAAACATGATTTAATCTTCTTGGGATGGATTCCACTAATTTTTTTGTGATTTCTGGAGTGATTTTACCCCATTCTCCTTGAAGCACCGATTTTAATTGTTGTATTGAAGAAATGGTGTGTTTGCGAATTCTTGATTCCAATTCTTGCTAAATATTCTCTATGGGATTTAAGTCTGGAGATTGTGGTGGTATTTTTATTATTTCAGGATAGTTATACAGCAGCCAGAGTCTAACGTTCAAAGCAATGTGCTTGGGGTCATTGTCCTGGTAGGATTTAAAATCGCTATGAAAGTTCAATTTTCGTGCTGAAAATTTCAAATTTTGATTTAAAATGTCAATATAATTGTACCGATCCATTATACTGTCAATAAAAACAAGATTACCAACTCCAGCGGACGACATACACCCCCATACCATAACTCCTTCTCATCATGTTTACTGTTGGCACCAAGTTCTGTTTACGAAATTCTTCCTGGGTTTTCTCCACACCAAGATTCTACAGTCAGAACCAAAATATATTAAATTTACTCTCATCAGAAAATATAACTTCATTCCAGTAATCAGAATTCTTATTTATGTTGGATTTTGCGAAAACCAGTCTGAGTTTTCTATTCTTTTCATTTCGAAGAATTTTTTCCTGGCTGCTCCACCGTGATATCCAGCAGATCGAATTACTCTTCTAATAGTCTCAGGATTAACAATTACTCCATATAATGCTTGTAAATCAGCAGCAACTTTAGGAGCACTCATTCTTGGATTTTTTAAAAATATTTCGAACGATAGTTCGCTTTATTCCATTGGATAGCTTTGATGGTCGGCCAGGTCTTCTTTTATCCTGAATCATATGATTCTTTTTATATCCTTTAATAATCTTGAAAACTGTTGAATGACCCAAGTTAACTGTTTCAGCAGTTTTTCTTATAGATTTTCCACGTTCAGTATGCAAATTAATAACTAATTTTCGAACTTCAGGCAAAGTTTCTTTTCGTTTAGCATTCATGGCTGCACAGAGCTAAAAAAACACAAAAATTCCGAAACAAACTGGAGAGAAATACTGCAGACGATTTTATAAATTATTGCCAATTGCTTTTGAGTAAAAATAAAAAAACCCAAAAATATTTTTATTCTAGTACGTAGTAATATCTAATGGTGTTCCATCACTTATGTGAGCCATTTTTTACTCCGTTCTAAACAATTGTATTTTTATTAAATTAATATTTTAATATTTTGAGAAAATGTATGTTATGTAATAATTGTTACTAAATTTAAGTATGAAACACACCCACAAAAAATGTTTACATGTTTTTTTAATTTATTTTATTACAGTTTCCTTTTGTAAAGCACAAGTGTCCCATCACTTTTGTGAGACACTGTATGTGCAAACAGAAGAGTAAATGACAAAACAACGTCGTGGAATTCAGCACACTAACAACTTTCGTTCAAAACTTTAAATATTCCACATCTTTCGATTGCCATGTGCAAGAAACAAAACTAAACAAAATAATGAACTATATAAAATTAAATGAAAACATTCATAACTTAACGTCATCTGAAATCCAACATTCTCCCACCACCAACAGCCTTAACCTTCTGCAAATATTTAATTTTAAATTGTATATATAATATTAAACAGTAAAAAACAAACACAGTATTTCAAAATTAAATTAAAAAAAAAAGTCTTCTAGCTAAACCAAATTTGCACTCTTACAATTACTGAAATAAAGCTCTAGGTTTGCCACAAGAAAACATACAGCCGGAAACCACAACCAATAAAAATCGCGCCAAATAAAAAAAACTCTCGCCAAGTTTGGCGCTCACCCCGATTATGGAATATTAACAACGAAAATTAATACACTGATGCTGTAATGAATATAAAGAGAATGACGTCAACCACATACACACAAGAAGGGAGAAGATGCGGCCAACACATGACTTCCCGCCAATTCCATGTTTTAAATATCAGTGATCTTTAAGTAAAATATCAATTCCTGTTAACAATTTATAAACAAAATCCAGTTGTTCCAATAAAAATGAAAGTTCTATAATACTAAATTCTGGATTATACTTTAGGTATAATTGCCCATGTATCAAAATGGGTTTTTCTAAATTTATATCAGCGTCATCAATGTTTGCCCCTTTATTTTTTAAGAAAATAAATTTCTTCATTGAAAATAGTACTTTATTGGGCAATCAAATAAAGTATAATTTATATATATGTTTTTAATAAAGAAAAATTAACTTTAAAATTAAATTAACTTTTTTAAACAAATGCTATAAATTAATTTTTTTCCATATTATTTATCAACATATCTAAATTCATTTTGATCTGCTTTTAATTATATGTTTCTAATTTTAAGTAACCCTTCCAATTTATTACATACAGTGAAAATCTATTGTTTGTTCTCAATCCTATTGAATCTCAAATTTGAAAAGTTTTGGATTATCTCGTTTTATATTTTTTCATAAAAGTCCGTTCAGAGCTTCAAGTAAAGTATCACTTCATTTAACCATTTTAGCCCAAATCTAACAAACAGCTACCATTGATATAAGTCAAAAACACTAAGTTTTGCATAATAATATATTAATGTAGTTTTTCATTAAAAACTGTTATTGGTTGTGGAACTGGCAAAAGCTGTGATTTCCATGTATAGATCCATTTGACTTCTCAAGCAATACGACACCAACGAACCAACCAAAATATCCCTTTCGTCCCTTTAAAGATGTTATGGGTTTCATGTAAAGTAGCCCTTCCGGTTGTCCAATTTTACAAATATAATCAACTTTGTATATGAATGTAGAAAGCTTAACTATGAAATTGGAACTTTTTGAAAACTTCATATATAAAAGTATCGTAGACGAAAAAGTCCTCCCACACATACCCACAGACAGAGACGATTCTAAAAATACAGAAAATGTATTATGGTGATCCTAATTCATGCTTATGGTATTAATATACATGGGACTATAATATTCTAAATTTATTTTACATGCCAATTTCGGTATTCTAATTTGCCACAACTCCCAATCATTTTTCAGAACATGATTCATAATGCCAAGGATCTTCGAATTCGCTGGACCAGCACTGAAAATAAAATCAGAAATATACATAAATAATTAAACAAAAATTCCCCTCCACACCAGCTCAAGCCTTTATCAAAGGAAGAAAATAAGAACATCTCTTTCTGAAAGCTTATCATCTGCTGAAGAAAGACACGTCTTTATTTGCTTTAAAAATGCGTCAAACTTTTTATCACAATACTTAAATACAAATACTAAAAATGGACATGTATATAAAATGAATTAATTCAAAAAAGTGTAGTTTTCTTATTAGTGGTAAGTTGATATTATGAAATTAATATTTTTAATAATGGATTAAAGGGAACATAACGAAACTGAAAGAAAAAATAAATGAATAATTGTTTATTGCACTTGTGTTGCATTTTATGCAAACTCCTACTCCTAGCTCAAAGGTTCATAAGTATGACAACTGCTGTGCCAGTCTTGTTGTATTTCATTACCATTCATAGGTTAAAATAATTTATTATATTACATTTATTTTTTTTAATCGTTTGTTATGAATCTGAATTTAAGTGTTTAGTTCTGGCATAAGAATTGAGATTTGAAGCACATATCTCCTACAATACAGTAATTTATTTTTGAAATTTCAGGAATATTATATTCTCTGAATTGTTTTATATGAAAAGAAAATTTAATGACTTAAATACAAGATAAATTTTCCAAGTAAATGAAAAATTTAATTTTAAACACTCAAAAATATAAGAAATTTATTTGTGGAGAATTTTGACTATTCCTGAATTACATCAGTGATTCATTTAACAAAATATTACATCCAGCATAGAAATGTATATGTATGTTTTAAAAACATTTCCATTATATTTTTGTCCACGTAACTTATTACACTATCAATATTATTTTTTACATCTTGAAAAATTACTGATGTTTTGTTCATTCATTGTAAAGCAAATCCGGTTTGTGAATTTCACACCGGCCAGTGCACTTGACTATCCACAGTAATAAATTCATCCCATTACAAATGAATTTGCTTCATTCATGTTAAAGTGATCTATTATCAAAAATGACTATAAAAACACTTTGGCACATTTCAGATGGGTTACATACAATGATTTCATAACCATTTTCCGAATTTACACTTTTTGACAGATTTGACATACAGTGCAGTTTTTATCAGTTGAAAATTTTTCAGTCCAAAACACAACCGCATGAACAAAATTATGAAACTTTTTCTGCACAGCTTCACACCTCGATTTCTTCATGACATTATATGCTACTTCACATACCTTTGATGCTGCATCCAGTGGATCGGGATACGGCATTTCCTGAAATCAAGATTTAACACAAATGAAATAATATTAAAAAAGAAGCATTTACAAATAAAAATCCTGTAATTATTAAACAGATCATGGACCCAAACATTATTTCACACAGATTTTCAAGTTTCTTTTCTGATACATTCCAATTTACCCCTTTGGGTACACATTTATTTGAAATTTTTTTTACACTTGTTTATCACATTATCTTGTTTGGGATACACAACCCCATAATGACAGAAATGCAGAATATATTTTATCAAAGTGATAACATGTTTTAATGAAAGTAATCATTCCAGGTACTTCAGAAAACTGTTTTACATCAGGTACATTTTCTTTTTCTTCCCAAATCCATTCATCTAATTTTTCATGAGAATATTCACTATCACTGCTTGATAAGCGTCTTTTACGTCTTGGAATAATTTCGCTATCATTATCACTTTCAAGTTTGATAAGTTCTCATTTTCATGATTACTACTTTAATTAAAACTGTCATCATCACATTGATAAAATATATTCCCTATTTCTGTCATTATGGGGTTGTGTATCCGAAACAAGGTTCACCAAACTACTGAAATTATTTATTCTGTTGCAACAGATACACATTACTTTGATATGAACCAGAATGAACTAGCTAAATCTCGTCTCAGTTTCAACGACGTATCAGTATGTCATGTGCGTCTTTGCCCAAACAAATGCATGAAGTACTGATACATCAAATGTAGCCAAAGAGTTAACAAAGAAAAAGCAAAATTCAGATACTCAAAAATTACACATATACAGTCAAAAGTTACCGGGTTAATCCGAACTTGTCGGGACTTCGGCGATTCCGGATTATAGATCATCAGTTTAAATCTCGTAAGATGGCATGCACAAATTATACAATTAAAAATATGAAACTGTAATGGCATCTTTAGTTGCTTCTTTATGAATTACATAGCAGCACAAAAATGAATAAATTTTACTCTGTTACGGGTTTTATACTTGCAAATTGTGCACTAGAAATGCACGCTTTGATGGCAATTCCTGTTCATTTGCCTTGAAACTTTGATCATTTGCATGTTCGATCAAGATGTTTTTGCATACCAAATTTCGTCACGATCACAAAAGTCCTTCTTGGTGCTTTGATTTTTTTTGCAAAAGAGTGTATAATACACATTAAATATAATTTTGATTAGAATCCAATTTGTAAGTAAATTGAAGAAACAATTTTTTTGTTAAAGAATTTTGTTCATTCCCCCCCCCCAGAATTTTAATCTGTACTTGGGTTTTCCTTTTGTCCTTGTCCTATGACATTTTCCCTTCTCTTTTATTTTCATTATCACAAATCTTTTTGTCTTCGAATGCTTGATGGTAAGAACCATGAGCAGATCTGGCATATTGTAACATCAGAAAGTATATATTATTCATCTCACCTCCATTTACTTTTATGGCATCATAAAAAATTCGCAATACTGTTAAAGAATTCTTTGACATATTTTAATATGCACGTATATATATACAGTCATAAGTCGTTAATCCGGACTCGTTGCGACTTCGGCAATTCCGGATTATAGAACATCAGTTTAAATCTGGTAAGATGGCATGCAGAAATTCTAAAATTAAAAATATGAAACCGTAATTTATGAAATAAAGAACAATTATGATCTAAAGGGTATCAAAATTTGCCAAAAAAAAAAGCTTAATATTTATTTGTTTACTTTATTAAACATTTCTTTTAACGTAAGTTGTTTAAGGTTGCTTTTTTTATGTGATAATACTTTCTCTTTAATTCTATAAACAGACATAATTTCTCGTTCAGTAACAAAGTTCTGCTGTTCAAGTCCCGTTAATTGCTGTGCCGAGAATACCGACTAACATGTCAATCGAAATTTTTTCGTTTTCACTAACCTCTCTGTCATATTCTTCATGTCTTTATCCATTTTTTGCAGCAATTCTACTTTTTGTTTGATGGACATCGAAACATACTTTCGTTTTGAAATCCTTTGGGAGCTCGAGAATCGGAAATTCTAGCTGACATAATCGAAAATTCAAGTTTACTTTTATAGTATTGCTCTTACAATCTGCAAAAAATAATAAGGCGGATCCAATTCGAAAATTAAGGAACAACGCAATCATCAACATTAACTGAAATAGATAATTAGACAATTTTAGCTTATACCGTCCGTTATACATAAAATGCGCGCGCGAAAACGTATTCTGAGCTTGCGCACACGCGCAGTCATAAAAGGTCTTACGCGCACGCGTAAACGCTTATGCGCATGTGTCAACGTGGCGCATGCACAGAAAGTTTTTAGCTTTGAGGTCCGGATTATGGGTGTTCGAATTAACAACTTTTGACTGTATTATCTATATTTATCGTCAGTTGCAGCAACAAATTCTCTAAAAAATTGTAAATTCAAATTATGTAGCTATCAAACTTGAAATATAAAAAACCAGCAAGTTCACCCACTAAAAGCAGAGCTTCCAGAATGTTTTCATGCTGCATGGAGGCACCAGTTCAGAATTCAAAAATAATTCAAATTACTATTATAGCATATGATTCAGTTTATTCGGTGATTTATAATATGATTCTGATGTAAAGTATATTAATATGTAATCACATATTCTAAATTTTATGTTCTCTGTCTCATTTTGAAATTTTCTTACACTTTTGGACTGAGAAAATTCTCATTAAGTAAGGAAAGCACTATTTTATCAAAGTACTTTTAAATATGATGAAAATTAAATCATTTGTACTGCATATTTTTCATGTTTCCTGCTCTGAAATTGGATTTAATGACTTTACATACTAATATAAAACAAAATTAAACACAATTATTTAATGACTTAACATTTGGTTGAATCTTCATATTAAGTTTTACAAATGTCAACAGATAAAGAGAATTCAGCTCAAATTTAATAAGAAAAATTACATTAAATATCACTAGGGATGGGTAAACGAAATTTGCTCAATTAACTAATTCGATAATGAGACTCAAACTGAGCAAATTTTATTTCTAACAGTTTAAATTTATTGCCGAAAAACACTTTCATTAGCGAAGGCAATAAATTAGAAAAAAGGGAGATTCAGTAATCTAGCCAGTGAAGTATCGATAAACCAAAGAACAATTAGATATACCAGCCTATAGTGTGTGCTACTCTAAAATAGGAACATCGAGGTTATGTTCTGCCATCCAATTTGACTCGTAACCACGGAAACGACAGCTGTGTGGAAAAAAGGGAACTTGTTTAATCCTCCCTGCACTTCATTACTGTTTATCATGTTTCGCTTCATGAAAAGCTTAAAAGCCCTTAGTAGAAGGCTGACGCTAAGTGAAGTCTCAAATGACATGAAGAAAGTAAGTATTGTCGACATCGATTAAGATGGCAAATGGCACATAAGTGCCTATTTTAAAGTAACAGACTATAGTAACATGTAGCAACTTTTATCACTGTGATACGGCACATAAACTCTGCCCAGATGATGGAAGTGTCAGATTAATACGATCTATGTCTGCTTTACAAATATCTACAGTAGATTAAAAGCAAATCATAACTTAAAAAATAAATAAATAAGTTAAAAAAAGATCTGAAATGTTTCAGATTTTAAAATGTTGCCTTTGCTCGCTTTGAAATCCTTGAGTTTGTTAATAAAAATTTGTTAAAGTTTTACAAAATAGGAAATCGATAATAAAACAAATACCAAATTTCATATTTGGTCTTCCACATGCCCATATTTGTAGGAGGATTACATCATTCAATATTTGCTCTATATACCATTGTTTTATCACAATGTGAGAAATATACATACATTTATGCAGATTTTTCATTATTTAATTTCTTTAAATACGATAATACTTTGTGGGCAACAGTTTGAAAAGTGATTCGCCATTTGTAGTAAATCGACACAAAACAAAAATAGTCCTTCATGGACAAAGCCCCTTTGGACTAAAAAAAAGATAACAAAGAAAAATCAGTAGGGATGGAGAAAAGGAATTTGCACAATTTAAATTTCTGATATTTGATAAATTTTATTTATTGTCAGGAAGCACTTTCTTAAGTAATTCTTAAGTATGGCTAAAAAACTGGGAGATTTGATGGAAAATGGGAATGCTGGCAGCTAAGGACACACTAAGGGACAGCATAATAAAAGGGTTAATTTTCTGTGCAAACAGCTCCCATACAAGGATTTCTGGGAGTTTGGATTCATTACAGTCCAATTAAATTTTTTCCATGCTTCAACAGTGCAATTCTATCAGCCATATTAACCTTGAAGGCTTATGACATAGATTATGATGCATGCAATGGCAGTTACCTCTAGCAAGAGTGCTTTTATCAATGTGTACATAACTTTGCAGATGAAATGCCTATGTCTCATCAAGATCTAAATTCTTCTCCAACAGGAGAGCAAACATTATTGATGAGTTTCGAATCATATGCCTCACCCCCACTCTTTCTGAGTTATGTGATATAAAAAATACATATACACTTAATTAAATTTATTTTTTAATCTGCTTTACAAATTAAACAACAAAGAGTAAAGAAAATGTTAATAAATACCAAAACTTGAATGAAAGTTTTTTATATTTATAAACTACAATATATACTTAAAAGCTCAATAAAAATATAATAATTCTCTTCCACCCCACCCGGAAACTTTGAAATTTTTCCTGGTTGAGAATTCCTGTTTTACACAATTTTGCCTTTCTGTGAAAACATTAGCAAATAAGTAGATAATTTAGGGAATATATCAATTATGAAGTCATAGCTGATGTACGTAGGTAAGTTGAAAAATAAGTTTCCCCTGTCGACTGTGGTCAGAGTTGTGTATGAAAGTCAAAAAATAGAATGAGACATTAAAGATATGACATACCTTTATTTATTATTCTCGTACGTGTACATTGAGACATTTGTCTATCGCTTGAAACTCCAAAAGTCTCCAAGAAAAATTCACGCTTTGCATATGGAAGAAGCTTTAATGCTATGGGCGAAAGGCTACAGCAGGAAAACGCAAGTCACCGATAACC